TAAGTTGCATACAAGCCAAGCAATCTTCTATGTGCTGTGTCCGGAAAGTGCAGAGGCTTGACATTTCACCACTCTGCCAAAATACATTTTACAGTTGCTTGCGATTGGTCATTTGTTGTTGTAGGACTACTTTTTTGACACAAAGAAACGGACACGAAAAATCATTTCTAAGGATATTTAGGGGGACAGACATCTTTAATACAATCTAGACATACAAATAACAAATCCTCATTCACTGGACTGACTTCTTTTTTAAGTTTCTGCAGAACTAATATCTTGCTTATCAAGGCCAAATGACTTTTGTAGGAGTCTAAATAAAAAATGCCACACCGATAGTCTTTTTTAAAAGCAGTAAAACTATTTCTGCTTTGTCGTTAGTGTTCTATGTAGACAAAACTCAGTAATTTACCAGCAGTCCTTAATTTGCAGCTGCTATCCTAAGTGAGCTAACTGACTGAGGATACCTCGATGGTGAAACTATACCAATAATTTTGTAGTGTAACTGCACAAGCGTGAATTAACACACTAATGGTGGAGAAAAATATATTTTCCATCTATCTATCTATCTATCTATCTATCTATCTATCTATCTATCTATCTATCTATCTATCTATCTATCTATCTATCTAGGATAGGCTCCAGGGTGGTAATGACCTTGTAGTACATAATGAATGAAATTCATGAATGAAATGATCCCTTCTTTGCCATTTGTACAGCTACATGACAGTTCATTAGCTGACACATATCCCATAATGCTCTCCTTTGACACATACACACATATTTAAAGGTGAGAGCGGAGCTTGGGGTCTGAGCACAGTGTCAGGCCATCTATTCTGCTGGGGCATAAGCAGTCAGGGTGATTGGAAGTGAGGCCTTGTTTTAAAAGCACTCGGAAATTCCACTGCAATCACCACATTTACTACAAAGAAATACTTTGATTAGAAGTGCAGAAGAAAGTTGTTTGCATGCCAGAACGGTTGTTACAGAATGAACACAAAGCTAAAAGCTCGTCCTCTTGGTTGCACAGCATGCAGTTATATAGTCCTCTTAGGCGTCGTTGTTTCCCACACCACAAAATTAGATCTATGATAAAGTAACAAAAACTGCAGGTTTTCTCGATTGCTTTGGCACATTTCGTGAAACAAACAAAATTCTCAAGACTATATAAGAGCATTTCTCAAAACAGTTCATGCATACAGCACAGCACTATAGGTTAGCTGCAAAAGCCTGTAACTTACCTAAAACAATTACTGCACCAATGGATTACAACAACAACAACAAAAAAATTATTTTTGCATAGCGCGTTATCACAACATTACATTGTCCCAAAGCGCTTTACAGCATCCCCACCCAAAGCCCCCAGTGAGTAAGCCATAGGCGACAGTGGCAAGGAAAAACTCCCTAGAAGGAAGAAACCTTGGGAGGGACCAGACTCAAAGGGGGAGCCCATCGTCCAGGGGGCGGCAGGGAGAGTCAAATCGGAGAGATCACACAGTGTAAGTCACAAAATATGAGTCACTACTGGGGAGCAGGGAGGTGATGACAAGCTGGTGTCGGCGCTCCTTCGGATCGCCGGGCAACCTGTAGCACGGCAGCCAGGCATCCATGGTGGACGACAGGCATAAGAGCGAGCTGGACAGAAGGACGTCTTGGGTAGTGGCAACGTCACATGTTGCAGGGTGTGCTGGACATCTTGATAGAGTGAGGGCTCCAGGCAGCACCCCCCAGGAGAAGTAGGGGAAATAAAATATGCAATTAGTCAAAGTAGGGGAGACTATAGGCAGTGCTAACAGTTAGGTGAGTGCAATATGAAGTGCAATGCTCCTGCAGATATGGCTATGGCAGCATAAGTAGGAGGGAGAGGCAGGTGGGAATGCAGGCATGGGGAGTCCCTGAAATGTCAGCACTCCAATCCCACAAGGGGGTGTGAAGCTAGAGTGACAGACTGACAGGTCAGTTCATCCTAAGCCAATGGCACCGATCCCCACCTAGTCTACACCTCACACTATAGGTCTAACTGGGGGTGAGCAGTTAGCTAGAGCTAGAACTAGTGTCCCTATAAGCTAAATTAAACAGGTGTGTTTTTAGTCTAGACTTGAATATTGAGAGTGGATTAGTCAGCGCCTCCAAAATGAAAAGTACAATAAGCATTGTTTTAACCATGAGCATCAAAATGCTTAGATATATTGTCGGTATGTCCGTGTCAGTCTGCTCCTGAGCTCCACAATGCTGCAGGACAGTTGGTTCCCAGTTTCTCATTGTCAGTGAATGATCATATTTCTTTAGCAAACTGATGCTTATTTGTGTCAGATACCAGTCTCAATACAAGGCTCTACATTGCAATTTGTAAAGTTCACTGGCAAGAGAAAACACTTACATGGATTGTGAGCGCTTCAGATTGGAAGACACAGCAAACAAAGTAGAGTAGCAAACAAAATAGTCAAAAACAGCAAAATGGCACTGATATGTTTGCTGCTTACTTTGAGGGCTGAAGACTTCATCTAAGAATGAGTGAGTCTTCCATGCAACCTTCCATTCAACAACAGACATTACTGTTCAGCAAGGTTCCCCAATTCCGGTCCTGGAGAGGCAGTCTGCAACACAGTTTGCAGAATTCCCTGCTCAGACACGCCTACTAAGCTTAGTAATTAGCTGACGCGCTGAATAAAGTGCATGTGTTTGAGCAGGGAAACCTGCAAACTGTGTTGCAGACTGGCCCTCCAGGACCGGAATTAGGCAACCAAGCTATAGAGCGACAGGAACCCAGCTGTTTAACCTACAATTAGATTAGACTGCTGGCTTATTGAGGTTCCCAAACATCTCCTTGCCACAGATATGCTGTAAGAGTGCAGCAGTGATAGAACGCAGGAGATAAAGCCTGCTTTGTCGTTTGTGTGTGTGTGTGTGTGTGTGTGTGTGTGTGTGTGTGCTTGGGTAGGCCCAGGATAAACATTAAAATGTATAAAAAAAATCTATTTGTCAAGCAGAAGGCAATGGCAGAGGAAGCCAGGGAGAATGGCGTTCCCTCTGGCCTTGGCCCTGACTTCGGTCAGACACAACGCAGCTAGCCTCTTTCTCTGCATTGTGTCAATAGGCCAGAAACGACAAAGGAAGGGTGCGAACGCCTCGTTTGAGTGGAGATTTCCAGATGTTTTTCAGAGGATGTGATTTCATTCCTGCCATGCTGCGTGCCCAGGCAAGAGATGTTGTCAACAAGATGCCAGAAAGCAGCCGGTCATCTTCCTTATACTGTACCTGTGTACAATGTCCTCTGGTCTGTTCACATACACATATATATACTATTGATTTAAATAGAATAGAAAAGTGATACTTTATTAATCCCTGTGAAGTGAGGGATTCTTTTTTTTACTATTAGCCTTTGGCTTATAAGCTGTGCTTCTGAACAACAGTTACGTCAATACTTTTAGAATTTGTAAACCACATTATGTGACTAAGCGGCAAACATATCAGTGCCATTTGTTTCAGTTGTATTGCTTAGGTTATGGTTTGTGGTTAATGTTTTCATAACCATAAAATTTAATTATGTATCATATTATGAAACTAACAACAAAGACATTATATTATACATGTTTTCTTACATTCTGCCGCTACATTTATATCTTATTATTTGTTCTCCTCGATTTTTTCTTGCCAAACTGCTTCTGCGTTCAGTTGGAAGTGGGAACTGACTTATGTCCCCATGGGGTCATTACTCTCCACTATTGTACGAATGCAAGGGATTCTGGGTAATAAACCCTGTACTGTTAAAATAAGATTTTGGCATGATATGGAGGCTCCTTCTTTTCACCTCTCACACAGAAAAGTCACAGTCCCTGACACGAGATTTTTGAGCATCATTTATAGAGTTGCTTCATCATGACATAAATCCCACAATACATTGTCGTTATTCAGTTGATTTGCTGAAAGATTTCCCTGTAGTCACCTATAAGATGATCCATTTTCCATACGCATGTGTCTTATTCAGGATCCTGGTGAGTCTAGAACCTTCCCCAGGAGATGCAGAGCAGCAGCCCATCACAGACTGCACATGACATATACTAAAGGTTATTTCAAGTCACCAGTCCATCTAAACTGTATGTTGCCTGGCCAGTGATTAAAGCTATAAATCTGAAGCTGTTTAACCCACTAAGCCACTATCCAAATCATCAGGTCTTATTCACCATTTACTTTGGAATTTATTTGACAAACTCTGAGCATGTATTTTTGTCGGTAGTCTGCAGCAGGGACATTGCTATGGGATCTTAAGTACTAATATTTCTGAACGGGCTGAGGGTGCCTGGGCATCTGCCACTTTTGCCTGAGTAATTGAAAGTGCCTCTTTTAAGGTTCTAAGTGCCCCAAGTATCATGGATAATTTATCCTGGGGTCCCTCTCCCCCCATGGTGGGCATAATTTACCCCCTGGTTGAGAACCAGAGCACAATGCCAAAGGCGTCTCAAACTGATAGTGTGCTTGTTAAAACACCTAAAAATCATTCGGGGCTTGTTCAGATTCAGCCCTAAATGCCGCAAAACCCAAACATACAACTCTCAACCTCTATATGTCCTACATCATGTCCTAATTAAAGGGTTAGGGAAAATCATGTCAGCCGGTTCATTGGTATCACAGTCTATTGAAATGTGTTAATTGAGTTCCCTCTATAATGCCTTGGTGCCTTGCCCTTCCTGTGATAAACTCCAGGCTCAAAGTGATAAGCAGATATGAAAGATTATAGAAGGAAGAAATGCTGGTTATGGCATTTCAGCCAGCAGCTGCTTCCTTCAATGTAAAATTTTGTCTGGAAACATCTATAAACGAGAAGGCTTAATCTACGACTCGCACTGCGATTCAGGACTGGACTGGCCGTCTGGCATCCCAATCGTACTGGGCAAAAAATATGCCTCCAAACAAAAACAGCCAGTCCATCGTAGCAAAGCCGTGCAATCAGTAAACATATAGAAAAGATGGAGAAAATATTTAATAATAAAAAACACAAAAAATGTAAGACTACCACTTTAATGAAAACATCACAGACAGTCCAGGTGGTTTCCAGAAACGCATATCCATTCATTTTATTTGTTAAATTTGTTTATAGTTAAACTCATTGAACTGGTCCCGGTGTCACTGTCAGAATCTCCTTAATCTTCTTTGACGTATGACCTCACTGCGATCACTTTCCCCATGGTGCATTTCTGTAATGAGACATAAGAACAATCGAAGTGTTCAGTTAAAAAAAAAAAAACCTTATTACTAAGGATTTATTTCAATGATACTCTAAGAATGAAAAACTATCTGCGAAATGATACCCTACAATAAAGGTTTTTGTTATCTAAAGTCCATAAACTGGGATATCGGATTATTCAGATTATTATTATTATCGTTAAATTTATTTCTTGGCATTAAATTAATACCTAATTTCATCTACGACCAGAAGGATGTGAGGAAATGTTGAAACGAAACATATTCTTACCGCTATCAATTTTCCATCCGTTACTTCTCTTTCTAGTGTTGTTTCCTTGCCGTCCCATGACTGTTTTTGCACAAGTTTGCCGTTTTCAAGGGTAAATGTAGTCTGGAAATTGAAAAGTGAAATTAAACACGTCATTTCTTGGAGTTTAAATACTGCATCGCTGCAAGATAGGCGCTGGTGTGAAATCAGACTAACGCGCCTTGGTCTTTCTGTCATCCGCGGTGATTTCCTCGAATTCCTCATTCAGCCTGAATTTAAGCTCGGTGGTTTTGAATGTGCTCTGCGATTTCATGCAAATAGCTCCTTGATCGTCAACGCTGAACGTCAGGCTTGGTTTAGCCATGTTTCCCATCTGGCGAGTTGCAAAACCCACACCTGCGATGCACCAAACAAAGAGTAAAGTGGCAAATTGAAATTTCAGATACAATTTCATATTTTACATATAAGTGGAGTCCCGAAACCCTAACCTTTAATAGTCTGTGGTATTCTTGCAGAAACATTAAGCATTACATTTAACTTTTTCCTGTAATTTGCATTACGTAGTATTATTATAACAATTGTCAAATGTCAGTGCTATTATCTGACCATTTCTAATTTGCAAAGCAAATTTGGCAGCAACAAATATTTAAAAAAAAATCTTACCCAAAGCCTTCATATAGTCATCAAAATTCTCACTGGAGACCATTCTCCATGTTCCTACAAAGTTTTCAACCATTTTCCTTGTTGTTCTTGATTTTTGATGCTCTAAACGTAGCGCTTTTAGTGTATTGTACTTGTGTCATGTATGTAATTCGTATATAATGGTATTTAAAGAGATGCCCCCGGATGCGTCAGTTTCTTAAAGCCAATCAATGCAATACACGTCACGAAGAGCAACTGAATAGGAGAACAGTTATAAAGGGAAAGGGTTATCAAAGCACGAGATCTTTGCTTCTTGCCAAATTACAGTAAGTCAGAGGTTGACTCTTTCAACACGCAAACATGAATAGATCCCGGATTATTTTCCCCATTTCAGCAGCTATATTAGTCAACAGATAAATAGTTGGCAAGGTAAATGAATAAACCGTTTACACAAATCACTATCCTACGGAAGTCTGTAGAGAACATGCATAAACTTTTTTTTTCCTTTCGTTATCTCGAGATCACGACTTATTTTTCTCGAGATCTCGACATAACCAAAGTCGTTATCTCGAGATCACGACTTATTTTTTTCATATTTTTTTAAGCCGACATCTTTCAAACATCACCCGGTAACCATGGAGACGTGCCGGACTCTCCAGTTGGTTGGTAATGAAACTGACTACTCTTTCAGGCTCACTATAATTTCTCCGACGATATAGCTGCAAAGTTCTGAGCCTCCTTGTCAAATGACGAACACTAATATGACATTTTTTTAGCACCGACAGACAGTGTTATTTCCTCGTATCCATGATTCGGTGCAATATATCTCGACTTTTTCCCACAGTTTGAAGTCTAACTTGGTTTTACAAACAAGTGCAATATAACCACTTATGATATTGGTGCAATATACTTTTACTTTACTGTGCAATATACACTTTTACTTTTCCTGTAACTTTTGGACAAAGGTACTTTAGATTCCTGTACAGACATTTTCTATCTTATTTTATTTTTTATTTTATTTATTAGAATGTTTAACAGTGTCGTAATTTGTTTTACACTTCATTTCTATTTTTATACTTATATTGTATTGTTCTTGTCTTCGTGTTTATATGTGATTGTGCAGTCGCAATGTGAGCAAATTCCTCCGGGATTAATAAAGTCTTCTGATTATGATTATGATTGTGATTGGGACAGTCCTCGATCAAAGTAAAATCTGGTGCATTCGTCCATAAGGATAATACTAAACCTCGAGATCATGGGAAAGTGATATGGGTTATGTCGAGATCACGAGAAAAATAAGTCGTGATCTCGAGATAACGAAAAGAAAAAAAAAAAGTTCATGCATATCCTCTACAGACTTCCGTACTATCCCAATTCCTCTGCTTACTTTCCCCTCAGAAGGTGGCGCCCTACGCGCCCGTCTACGTCGCGTAATGGGTTGACCGGGACTCTTTGTTAATGAAGAGAGAACTGACGCGGACTTTACCTCGACATGTCTTTTCATCCTTTCAGCATGGTGGTTCTTAATATTTCATAATATTCTTTTTCAGGATTCTATTTGTGTATTGTTTAGTTTCTAATTAATTTCCACTATGCGTGCCATCCGTGACTGTTGTCTGTTTTTACAGTGTATGTATGTTTGCCTGTGCTTTACGGACCCTGCTGATGTGCATATAAGAATTTCCCCCTGGGATCAATGAAGTTTATGTAATCTAATATAATATTAAACAAAGTTTATTGTACCATATCAGGACCGTTAAATCAAGCTGGAATGATGAAGCCCATGGTGTGAGTTTGACAATCCTATTTTCAATAACATCATAAACAGATGAATGACAGCATGGTGGCTCAGTGGGGGAGAACTTACAAGTCACACCTCCATCGTTGTGGGTTTCATATTCATCCCCCAGCTCTGGGGGTTTGGAGTTTGCATACTTTTCCATTGTTTGCAAAGATTTCCTCCAGGTTTTTACACGAGAATTGCATTGATGGCTAACAGCTACACCCTGCATGCACCTTATACCATCATCATGCACCTTATACCATCATCATGCACCTTATACCATCATCATGCTATTTCAGGCATTTTTATTTTTTTTTTTACATTTTTATGTCATCATTTCCTATTGGTCTTTCTTCTTAAGCACTGCAATCAAGGTAGCAGGCGGAAAAGCATTTCACTACACAAATGTAAGATATATGTGATTTACGTGACAAATAGATATGGCACCAAGTATGCAGCAAGCGAAATCTTACTAAATGCATTCAAAATCGATATTTCAGGGTGAGCAAAATGGATTCTTTTTAAAGTGTAATTTATAGATTTATTCATTTTCTGTACATCAATTATAACATAATTTATTAATTAACTGCCTCCTTTGAATGTGGGTCTTTGGCTTGGCAACGAGAATTCAGAGCAGAGAGCATTTCAAAGCTGGTCAGTTTCTTGCCCTTCATCAGTAACCTCTCTCCATCCGCTGAGGAAACAACAAAACAACCTAAGTAAAACCTTACTGGCAGTATCAAATCACAGCAATCACGCATTGTCACACAACATGCTCAGTTCAATTATCATGTTAATGAAATAGTATTTACTAACATTAATGCTATCCTGAGCATTATTTCAAACTGAATATATGCAGTTCTTACATGACAGCATTTATATAAAAACACCATCACAAGAAGACAACATTGTATACGAGGCTGCTTTATGCAGCAATGTGATCGAATCTACAGTTTTACTTACTGAATGTAATGTTAACAAAGGGGTCAGAGCCGTCATGTTTTACTTCTGTCCTAACCTCGCAGTTCATGTTTGTTGATCTTACTTTTTCACTTCCAACCACAGCTAAGAACTCCCTGTAGAAAACAGGAGAAAATATGACAAATGTAAAAAAGGAGGAAATATGACAAATTCAAAATGTAATATTTAATTTCCAAACAGCAGCTATTACAATACGCAGTAGGAAAGTAAACTAAAAATAAATTATACTGCTGATGTAAAATTTAAAAGATCTTTATACAGCTGTAAGAAAACGCGAGGTCCTTTCACAACGTGTTCACTAAATGGTGTGCTACATGGCTATTTGGAGCTTGGTTTCGATAACTTAATATCGAAACCAATATAAAATGAAAACGCTCCTACCTTGTTGAACGTACATTAGATTCAAACGGACAAAACTGTACAACGATGCTTTTTATGTTCTTCAGCAAAACCTTTCCTCTGATGGTCGCCATTTTGCTCCAGTTGACCTTTCAACTTTACAATAAAACTACAATTCCCACAAGTCAGCTCGAATAAGGGGCCCTGACTGCAGGCTGCAACACATTAGGCTGTGAATTGTTCTATTTTTGTATTTACATGCTTAATGAAAGAAAATATTTTACTAGGATTTTTATTATTTATAAACGTTTATTATTTACATATAAAAACATGAAATACTAAAATATTAGAAAATTGTAAAGTATATTTTCAGTGACATGAGTTATAAGGTTATAATGTAGATTTTCAGTATCATAAGGCGGTATACAAAATGGATAAATGGATGGGCGGGCGGGCGGATATACGAATATTCTTTGTTAAAACGGATTCGGGGAAAAAGCTGCATATTAATACATTACTTCTGTCCTAAAGTTGCTATGTTTCTTTTACACCAGTAGATGGAAATAGCGGAACACAGGTTGGAATTCGCAGCTTTGGCCGTTCACTATGTTTCCGGCTAGGCCACAAATACGTCATATTGAGACATTTCTACGTTGAATTTTAATTAAACAACTGGCAAACTCCGGCTTTTTATTTATTTGTTATTTTTTTTACCAACTGCGAATCGCATCAAAAGCACTTATTCTCGAACCAGCATAGAAACATCAGAGTATCATGTAATGTTCATCTTTTATTTCCACATCTGCGCAACTTATTTAGAGTAGTTTGTGTCACTATCAAAGGAGGTATAATATTCAGCCCTTTTGCATGTCCTTTATATTAAAAGGGTGATAGATATGTGACTCTAGTTAGTTATGACCTTAAATGCTTGCCCTATGTTTGACACGGGATCGGGAAGATTCCCTGTACTGTTGTTTCGTTTGTTTAGAATTTTTGTTTGGTTTATCCATCTATCTGTCTATCTATTCAGTATAATTTTGTCTGATTATTTCGTATTCAATAGTTTTCGCATGCTGGGGGGAGATACAGTGGTGCTTCCTTTGCATATTGATTCTCACAGGACGGTGGTTTCCAAACCCCTCATTGGCCACACACAGTTATTCCACGTATCACATCTGATTCAAATACGAGATTAATGAGTTATATATTAATATGATTACCCAACAGTAGAATATTGAAGTACCTGGAATTGCTAAAGTGGAATAATGAAATACCTGAATGGCTGAAGGTTCCAGAGGGGAGGGTTTCCTACCTTCCTTTCTGCACACCTCTACTGGCTTGATCTGAAGAAGGTTTGCGTCAATATGCAGAACTGAGTAACAAGATGGGAACTACTTTTCCCAGCATGCACAGCGCCGCTCCTTCGCGTTCGTAACTCCTCTTTGATATCAGAACGAAGAAGGGGAGGAGTAGCGTAGCGGCTTCGGTCTCAATTCGGCAGGTCCACTGTGTAGCACGATGCGCGAAAAATAGAGAAATATTTCATGGTGTTTTTTTAAACTGTATTCACTCTTTGCAGCTCTTTCAAGGACGTTGCCGTTTGACCAAAAATTCTAATTTTCTCTAGGTAGGTAAGAGCTTAGATGTAAGTCGGGTTTGAATTTAAGTAACCGACCGAAATTTTATGGAAGATCGTTTTCGGTAAGTGGTTTTACAGTACCTATTCTCACTCGAAGTTAGTTAATTTGTGATTGGTTCCACAAAGCAGATAAGACTGAAATTGCAGGATTTAAAATTTAGTGTACGGTTGCTATGGGAGCGCTATGAAACTTCATTGTATCCGGTCAATTTAATGCCGCAGGATGCCAGGGGTTGCATTAAACAGAAACACCATGAGGAATTGCGGTAGCGCAGCGAGCCTTTACATGCACATATCAAAAAGGATGCAGGAATAAACAGTAGAGATACGACAGTGACCAACAATAACACGTTTTGGAGAAAATGTATTACTAGGGGTTTATTGTCTAGCTTTTGAAAATTTAGCTACCTTTCAAAACACACACACATACATATGTACATATATACACACACATATGTATTTGTATGACAGAATGTACTGCTTCATTATTTACTTTTTTTGCAAATACGCCTGCTCTTTATGACACTGCCGACATGTATGTATTCAGGATTGTTTTATCTAGATGTTACCGCTGGCCCTGTTTCTGCTAAAGATGAAAGATTTGTAGTAATACGTGGTTGTCTGTTTTCACGTACAAGAAACCATTTTGTGTGTCAATGCCAAAATTGGGGAAACGACGTGGAAATTGATTGGCCATGGCAATGCATGCTGAAGGTGCAGAGAGTGGTAGTATTTAACTGCTGCTCCTTGTCTGTGGAGATGGCAAGTAAGTTTATCACCGTATTTGTTTCTCTGGCAGAAAAAAAATCCATTTAGTTGTCTTTTATTGGCATTTAGGATAAATTATTTAACCCAGTTCATGCAGCGATTAGGAATATGGATGTTTTAAATTATTAACTTCCCGTTTCTGTTTTCGAAACGTCTTTGAGTGGAATTGGGCGTTCTGACACCTGCTGTCTCCTAACATCTTATTGGACGGCCGATGCCTGATTGACAGGACTGCCCCGCCCCATATCATCGGTATCTTCTTGACATATAGTACAGTACATTCCTATTGATGTTATTGCAAAGCTGTGGTTTGCTATGTCCTCAAGACTTGTGGATTTACAGTGGTCAGTGGGTAGTTATAATTATGAGTAACAAATGGGAAAAGGTGACAGAACTTTCCATGGTATATGTGCTTCGATGCTATCTGTACCTTATGTATGTCGTAGGTGCATATGTTCACATGCCAGACAGTTGAAAATAGTTTTTCAGGTGATATGAAACCCCTTCATTCTATGAGTACATTTTAATTCCACACATTTTGCTTTCAAATAGCAAAGTTATCGTTTCCTCAGTAATCCTTGTAAAATTTTTTCATATATATATGTTTACAAAAATGCATTCCTCAATAAAAACCTACTGCATCTTCTTAGCATTCTTTTCAATGCTTAATCTATGAGGTATTGTCCGCACAAGGAATGTGTGTGCAATTTGTTTTTAATTGGTGATGAATTATTAATATTATACACGTGTCATAATTTATTAATTAATACATCCTTCTGTCTCAGGAATCACCGGAGCCATAGCACACACCAATACCAATAAATGCACATTTGGGCAGGGTTATTCTTGACAGCTCCATGTGTTTCACTCGTGGGAAAAAGCTGGATTGCCCAGAAAGAACTGAAATGAACAACAGATGCATAGAGACTGTGCACACTCGGAGTTGGGACTGCACAAATATCTAGTCTATTGGGAGTTGGCAACTCTTTAGGTCTTACTATTGAGAAGTAGGGTGACCACTTGTGTCCAGACAGTCCTGTTTTCAGTTCTCTGTCTGCACTGCTGTTGGGTGTCCGCCTTTTAGCCCCCTTGTCCTCCTTTCCCCCCCCCCCTCCCTCCTACCCACCCACCAAAAACAGGTGAAACACCCAAACACATATACTGCCAAGAACAGGCCTGCCTGCAATTCTTTTTAAGCCGTTATCTCGAGATAACGGGATCATGATAGATATACCGTTCCCGGCTTTCGTAGTACATCAATGATATAACCCACCCCACCCCCCAACCACTTTTCATGGTTGTCCTCCTTTTAAAGCCTTAGTCCTCCTTTTTGGATACAGCTCCTCCTTTTTAGAGTCACGCTGGTGGTCGCCATAGTGAGAAATATTGCAGTGCAGTGATCTTACGAGAACTTTGGACGAAACAATTTTCAGTTACACGTTTCTTAGAACGTGATCAAGCTTATAGTTCAAAGTATATAGTGTCTCCTTGTTTAGTTGCCAAGCAACAGGACTTTGTGTTACTCTGCAAGCTTTAGCGTGAGAGGCTGCTATTTTTTCTGCCATTTGTGTTTTTTTTCTTTTCATGGTAAATTGTCTTGTGATCACCCCGAGTTAAGCTTGAAAACCAGAAATGGGGAAGTGTGAATTGTTAACATATGCCCCGCCCTTGATGGGTAATCAGCAGTTTTACCCTCATTTTAAATCTTATTGCTCAGCTTGTTGTTTCAGTCATGAGTCTTGTGCTGGTTTCAAAACCACATACTGCATACTGTGACCAGTATATACACTGTATATAATATGGCAGCTTTTTCGTAAGAATTTCATAGCATAACTTCCCTACAAGCCTTTTAAATCCATAACGACCATTTCCCACAGATAAGGCATCATTTAAAACAGTGTTGCAATAACTCATCTATGCCGCAATGAGTGCTGCAATAACTCATCTATGGAAGAGGATTAGGGCCACCATGGAAATATTATTTGAATTCTGACTTTAATCTCAGAATTCTGACTTTAATCTCAGAATTCTGAGTTTAGAAAAAAAGTCAGAATTCTGACATTAAAGTCAGAATTCTGAGAAAAAAAGTCAGAATTCAAATAATATTTTCATGGTGGCCCTAATCCTCTTCCGTACTCATCAGATATCTGTGGAAAATGATCAAATTCTACAAAATAGCTTATTACAAATAAGCTGACCATTTAGTTATTATTTTAAATGATCTAAAACATCACATCTGTGAAGCCCTGCATGTATTGAAAGGATAGGTATATTGAAATAGTCATTTACATGATTTAATCCCAGCTCCCATGTTCTGTGTGTATAGCTGAAAGCTAAACAGCCTGTGCCTATTCTATGGGAAATGTAATAGGGAAATGTTAGCAGCTAACATTAGCTAGCTTGCTGATCCATGTAGAATACCTTGCTTGATTGGTCCAATTAGTTTGACGTTGGTTGGTTGTACTTTGCCCTCCCTTTTAAAAATGAAAATTTTAATACAAAAAAACGTTTTTTTTTTTTTTTTTTTAATTCTGAGGCTGCACTGTAGCTGTGACGCTCTGTCGCATTGCATTATGGGATGCAGTAGGCGAGGTAGACTGGTCTTGTGCATACTGGGTGTTTCTCAATATGTATATGTGACTGTACTTTTGTTCCCATTTACCCATTTTACACCATCTTCCACTGCCATAGACCAGTTTCAATACTAAGAACATAAGTACAGAGGACGATAAAAATCCCTGTATGTTGTT